TTTCCTCATTTTCAGTTATTCAAGGCACTTTTTAATTTTTTCTTTGATGTCATCATGAATGCAGTGGTCACTCAGTTGCGTGTTGTTCCATTCCATGTAGAGTGGGGGTTCCATGCTCATTGCATAGTTGACTTCTAGCTTGATGCCATTATGGTCAGAGAACACCCTGGTATGATTTCAGTCTTCATGTGCTTGTTGCTGTTTGTCTTGTGACCCAATACGTGACTGATCCTAGAGGATGATCCGTGTGCTCTTTGAAAAGTGTCCTCCTGTCCTCCCTTCCTTGCTAGCCCCATGTTCCTTCGCTCCTCCTGCCCCCACTTCTATACTGTCGCCCTTTCTTCCCCCTCCCCCTAACGGTCCTGAGAGTCTCAGACTCAGTGTGTTGTCAAGGGTCCATTTACAGTTTGTCTCTGTCTGATTCTGTGTTTGGTTTGTCTAGACTCCACATGTAAGTGAGACCATCCGGTGTTTATCTTCTCCTTCTGGCTTACTTTGCTTAGAGTCATCCCTTCAGCTCCATCCATGTTGCTGCAATCGGCTTGAGTTTATCATTTTTCTATCACAGAGTAGTGTCCCGTTGTGTCTACAGGCCCCATCCTGTTCCCCCCATCTGTCCTATGGCATATAGGTTGTTTCCACATCTTGGCTAGTGTAAATAGTGCTGCAGTGAGCATAGGAGCACAGGTTTCCTTTCAGATTAGTGCATTTGTGCTCTTTGTTTTTTTTTTTTTTTTGTAAGATTTATTTATTTATGCATACAGCAGCTGGGGTGCAGGCCAGAGGTGTGGAAGGCACAATGACAGTACAAACCAAGACAGAGTGGGGAGCAGAACAGCTGGGTCTACTCAAGGACAATGCTGAGGGGAGTGGAAGGGAGCAGCAGGGAGAGAGGAGAGGTCCGCTGTGCCTAGTGGGTCACCTCCTTGGCCAGGGTGATTTGTGCTGCAGTGGCTGCGGACAGCTTCACAGTGCTGAGACTAACCCCTTGCAACACCAGGAAGGCCCCGCTTTTGTGCTGTTTGGGTAGATACCGAGGTGTGGAACTGCTTGGTCATGTGGAAGATCCATTTTCAGTCTTTTCAGACATCTCCACACTTCTTTCCATAGTGGCTAGACTAGTTCACATGCCCACCAACAGCATAAGAGGGTCCTTTTCTCCACATCGTCTGCAGCACTTGTTGTTTGTGTGTTTTTTAACTGTGGGCCATTCTCACAGGTGTGAGGTGGTATCTCGTGATGGTTTGGTTTGCATTGCCCTGAAGATAAATGAGAAAGAGAATTTTTTCATGTGCCTGTTGGCCATCTGCATGTCTTCTTTAGGGAAGTGATTGTTTAGATCCTTTTCCCATTTTGATTCGGTTGTTTTCATTTTGTTGATTTGTATAGGTACTTTGTGATCTTTGATATGAATTCTTCATCAGAGGTAGGGTGTGCAGGTGTGTTCTCACATTCAGACGATGTCTCTTTGTTTGGGTCACTGTCTTTTTTGCCGTACAGAAACTTTTAGTTTAATGTAGTATCCATTGTTTCCTCTCTTCTTCATATGTTTGTGAGATTGATGTTAGGAGCGTTTTACATAGGTTTTTCTCTATCTGTTTGATGGTTTCAGGTCTTATATCCGAGTCTTTTATCCATTTTGAATTGATTTTCATGTGTGCTGTGAGGTTATGATCTAGTTTCATCATTTTACATGTGGCAGTCCACTTTTCCAGCACCCTTTATTGAAGAGGCTTTCCTTGTTCCAGTGTATGGACTTTGCTCCTGTCTTATATGTTAATTGTCCATAAATGTGGTTTTATTTCTGGGCTCTCAATTCTGTTCCATTAGTCTCTGTGTCTGGTTTTGTTCCATTGCCATGCTGCTTTAACTTCTCTGGCTTTAGCATATAGTTGGAAATCAGAAGTATGATACCTTCATTTCCCCCCTTTGATATCAGGAAAGCTTTGGCTATTTGGGGTCTTTTGTGTTTTTTGATGAACTTCATTAATCTTTGTTCTATTTCTTTGAAGAACGCCATTGGGATTTTTATTGGGATTGCATTGAATCTCTAAATTGCCTTGGGTTGGATGGCCATTTTGACAATGCTGACTCCTCCAACCCATGAGCTGGGTATATCTTTCTGTTTATTTAAAGGAAGAGGGATGGAGTACAGATGATCCAGGGTCTGTGGACCAGGCTAAATTTCAGTCTTTGTCCTTAGAGTAATGTATAGCAACATAATCCTTGTTTTTAGCTTTCACAGCATTTGCAGGATGAAACTAAGAGTTTCTTGTGATTTTTTTTTTTTATTAATTTTTTTAAGATCTGGACTCAAGCCCATCTCTCTTCTTTCTTTCTTTTCTTTTCTATTTTTTTTTTTTAGACTTATTTATATAAGCACTGGGTACAGTCAGAAGCGCGAGAGGGTGAGAGAATTCACCAGAGCCAGAGCAGGGAGCAGAGCAGGCAGAGGGACCGAAGTACACTGCTGAGGGGAGCAGTGGGCGGCAGGAGGGGTCTGCGCACCATGTGGGACCCTCCTCCGGTGGCCAGGGAGCAGCCGGGGATCGAAACAGCACTGCAGAGGCTGCGGGCAGCTTCGCAACCCAGTGCTCAACCACTGTGCCACCAGGGAGGTCCCCTCTTGTGTTTTTTAAATAAGAATGTCTCATCCCATGCTCCCCCCCCAGAAAACTTTTCCTCATATGAATTACCTCTGCATTCTGCCAGTAACTTTCACATTATGCATAGGAATATAATAAAAATGAACATACGATTCTGCCCTGACAACAAAACCAAAAAAAGTATTTGGGGATTGAATTTATTGAATAAATAAGATTAACTGAATGTTGATGGAAGAACAGTTAATAGTTTCTTGAAAAGTATATTTTTATATATATGTAAATAAAAGGTCTATTTTCTTCTGAATAACATTGAAAACATATTGATCAAGGTAATATATAAACATAATTAGGAAATTTCTAGAAGAATCTGAGTGTAGTACTGCCGCGGACCAGCACAGCAGTAGATGATGAGGCCGTCTCAGGGTTGAGAGAAGTGCGCAGGGTGGTCAGGGAGTCGGCGAAAGAAATGACACACAGACACACTTCTAGAGAGTGAAAATCTGAGTGTAACTTTATTTGAGTTAATGGCCAGTATATATATGTTTTTCTAAAGGCATAGGATCAGTTATCAGTGAACTAAACCAGCTGGCTCATAGGTTTAGCTTATCATTGACAGGGCAGTGATCTACGTCCGAAGTTACATCTGGACCTAGTGACATTCCTGAGTAGTCAGGCTAATAATCTTTCTTTTGTTCTATGTAATTACTTTTTTGTTTTAATAACTATTCACTACCACTAACTTATTTTACCTTTTATAATGCAATGCTTTTTTATTAACATCAAAGCTATCAAAGCTGAGCACATAACCTAGAAATTACTAACCATTCTATTATTACACAGAGTTTTGTAATGTTTCATTTGAGTTAGTCCAGTTATTAGATTACATGTGTTTTTTTAATCAGCAACCAATGACCTTTTTAGACCAGGAAAAAGAAAAGATTTTAGTAAGGAAAAAGAAAAGATTTTAGTAAGACAGTTGCTGTAGAATAAAGTTTGTGGGCCTTGAGAAAGCGAGATAAGGTTCCGTGTGGTCAGCATCCCTTTTAAGTCTTTGTGGCGGCTTCTGGTAGTTGTTATCTCTTGGCAGGCATTCGGCTTCTCTGCATCTTGGGGAGTTTGCTGTTCTCCCCCTGCGCACATGGTTCCTTGCCCACGCCGGACCTCAGGGACCATGGCAACAGCCATTAGCCCTGAAGGTAAGGTCACTGCAGGGTGGAGGTGCAGCATAGTACCATTCAAAATTCACAGTTCTTGAGATCACGGGGTCATATCTTTCTCAGTCTAGTAAAAATATCACAAATTGTGTATATCATTTTGGTAAGGTTTTAAAGAAGTCATCACACAGGCATCATTGAGCAAACCGGAATCTATTCAACAGTACTGAGCAACACATTCTTATTTCTGAAATGCCACATTAGATATATGAAAATTATCAATATTTATATACAAAGAAAAGTGATAGAAGTTGTGATTACTGAATAGTCTAAGTCATCAGACTCATCCAGATACTTCTTTTACGTCTGAGAGAAATGTGTACTGTTACGGAGCATCAGATAAAATCCAGCTGTACTTTAATCCCATTTCAATCTATCCTCACAGAAAATATTGACTCTTTTCCTGCAGACATGCAGCTGTCAACTATCCAACTATGGGTCTAGATTTGCATTACACTTTTATTTCCTACCTGTTCCTTTTCATCTAAAACACTTGTCCCATGAAACAGCTTTCACTGTCTGAATATGAAGGCAGGAAGTGCGGTGTCATCAAACCTGTTGGATAATGTTCATGGGCACAACAAATAATATCGGCTAAATTTAAGGGGATGTATTTCTGTTTTTAGAAATGGTAAAATCACTACTTATCGCCATGCATTGTTAATGTCATAGTTATCATTCCAGTAAAAATTTCATTTCGTACCAATATGTATGACATTCTGCCCGCCCTCCCCCCCCAAGTAAAGTCTTTAACACAATGAAATACCCACAGAGTATGTGCACTTGATTGAAAAGTAGGTGAAGTTACAGAAGCTCCTAGGGAGATATATAGACTGGGATTTCTGGAAATCTTAAAGATTTGTAAGCAATAGCAGAAAGTATATTTATTGTAAAGATTAGTGAAGACCCACAAGATTGTGGTGATCATTAAATCCAAATGCAGCAGTTCAACAGAATAAAAAATTCTTTCTTATGAATTCTTTCTTAGAACAGTTCTCTTTAACCATTTTTTTCCTGCTTGGTCTTGTAAGAATACTAGCAACCTCTGGCTCACAGATCAATTATCCTAGATAATATCATAGTATATTACATCAATTCTTTGTATGTGAACTAAGAGGACATTGAGAAGAAACATGAGCTTCTTATCATGTCCAGAGGTAACATCTGTCACATTTGTTCACTTTGTATTGGGAAGAATGAGTCACATGATCACTCATAACTGCACAGGAACTGTGAAAGCTACTTTTGCATCACTAATTTCAGGCTATAACTATTATGGAATTGAAAAAGGATTTCTAGGTAGTTTCTTGTCTTTAATATAGAGAAATATTGCTATTCAATTGTTCTGAACATAAGAGGGTGTTTTTGTTGCAGGTTTTGTGGGGTTTTTTGGTCTGTTTATATTTTTCCTGCTCAATTTTCTGGCCAACTAGGTACATATAAAGCCCCAAAATGCAAATTAACTCATATTGGGAACAATAGAATGAAATAAATCTGCAAAAACAAGGTCAGTATATAGAGCTCATCTCACTAAACAGAGGAAAGAATTGAACTCAATATTCTATATCCATGTAGAAAATGCTTGAATTAAGGTGAATGCTTGAATTAATAAGGTGAACAGATTTTTGACTTTGAGATTCATGTAACATTCACAGTGATGATACCCTAAAATGTCATTTATATTTGACTGCATTACAAAGACCCTTTATATTTTTGTGTACAGTGAATAATATTCTCAATTCTGAGTCTTATAGGAACATCCAGGGAAAAGAAATAATGCCCCAGGCAAACATGCATGAACTTAATTAGCATCATAGAGTAAATGCCACATTTGGCCTTATATGGTGGCAGCCCTGTATGAGTCACTGAAATGGCTTTAAAATGGAAATGTTTGCTGATAGCCCCTGACGTATTCATCTTTTTCTCCCAGCAGAAATACTCAGTGAGTACAAAGGAGATTAATTTTTTAAGATTTATTTATTTATTTATACAGGCACTGGGTACAGTCAGAAGCACGAGAGAGTGAGAGAATTCACCAGAACCAGAGCGGGGAGGAGAACAGGCAGGCTGAGGAAGTACACTGCTGAGGGGAGCAGCGGGTGGCAGGAGAGGTCTGCGCACCATGTGGGACCCTTCTGGCAGCCGGAGATCTAACCAGCACTGCGGAGGCTGCGGGCAGCTTCACAACCCAGCACTCAACCGCTGCACCACCAGGGGAGGCCCACAAAGGAGACTATTTTACAATAATATACACATTCATTTCACAAAGCAAAAGGAAAGTAAGAGGGCTCATTTGCATGTCTGGACCTGGGATTTCTTGCATAGCACTCCAACAATACACAAGAGTCTTGCCAGGTCCACATACCAAAAGCTTTCCCTATGGTCCTTGAGCCCCAGAAAATAGGTGATCTTGGCTCTCTTTTCCTTATATAATAAGTTTCTTCTTTTCTGGATTTATCGGACTGCTTTCTATGGAAATTTTCATCTTTCTCCAATTTCTCTCTCTCTTGTCTATAGGTAGAGTGTACCAATGATGTTCGTGATGCTGGTTTTCATGGAAAGTCTTGTAGAGTTATCCTTTCAGAAGGCTCAGGTAACCGCACCAGGATGAGGTCCAGATCCCAGCACCTCTTAACAAGTTTCTGTCATGGACCGTGCATATGTGGGGATGGACCCAACTTACATTTCTGGAGGACTGTAGTGCAAGGAGGGGATTGATACCGGAATTGTCAGGCCTAGTCTCCCAGCCAGGAACAGATCCCAGGCTGCAGGGCAGCGCTGAGCCCCAGCCACTAGACCCCCACGGGTTGGTGTCTCACGAAGCCGCAGCAGGAACTTCGCAGACGCTCAGGCAAGCAAGCGAGAAGAGGCAGATTTGTTTATAGAAAGAAAAAGTTTATTGAGGAGAAAAAGAGCAGAAATAAAGTGGGACTCCCAGGCCAGGGAACCAGGCCTGGGAGGGGCAAGGAAGCCAAAGTGGAGTCGTGTCTCAGGGAATATATACCTTATTTCCCTCATTATTCTAAAGCTCCACCAGTCTCTTTGTGATTGCTTAGTTCTCGGCTGTCTCACTTAATCTGCTACTGAGTGGGGATCTTTACTTTCCTTATCTAACAGCTTTTTCTTTCCCCATTTGTTGCATCTTTAAATTTATGGCCCAGTCTTCTGGATGGGCATCCCTGCATTGAAGTTAAACAGCTGCCCTTCTAATGTGTCCATAAATTAAACCATTCTCCATTTCTCCAATCTCCGCCTCCCTTTACCACCTGAAGGAAACCAGGACTAGCATTAACAATGTTGTCCTTGGTCTTGGGATGTTTGTTTTTCCTAGTGGAATGAGTTACTTTCCCTTGGTTGTCCTTATCTCTGAAGCCTCCCTAAATTCTTCAGAGGTCCCCTCCTGCACTGTCCCTGAAACTGCCTAATAACACTAGCTTGCCCTGTCTCAGGATGAAATAACGCATTCAGAATAGAGATAAAATATATGGGTCACAAATATCCTAACCTGCAGGATTCTCCTACAGAGACAAGAGAGTAAAAATGTTCTTCCCAAACAAAAGCTGAAGAAGTGGTCCACTAACAAATCTTCCCTGAAAGAAATGTTTAAAAGAGATCCCTTGTATAATTTAAAGAGAAAAGAAAAAAAGAAAAAAGAAAAAGCTGAGCAGGGAAGTAGAACCAGACAACTAAAGTGAAAGTGGCAGTAGAAGATCCTCTATAGAGCTCAACAATCCAAAGGCAGAGAGAGGCCACCCAAAGGCAGAGAGAGGCCAGCCAAGATTGCACAGTCCCCAGGAGACCCGTCTGAGCCCCCAAAATAAACACAGGCTCCTGGCTCAAGGCTGAATATTACACCAAACCACAGGACAGACACAGGGATGTCAGAGTCTGGGCCAAAGTGTATTGTGCTGCACCATGATGTGCAATGAGAAACATTCTATGTGGAGCCGAGAGCCTTCATTTTTCTCACAATGTATTTTGAATAGCAGCTGCTTTGTAATGTTTGCACTAGGATCCATTTCCAGATCTGCAGGTAAATGATGTTTTAGTCGTGCTTTTATTTAATTTTTTTAAGATTTATTTATTTTTATACAAGAACCAGGGTACAGGCCAGATGCACTGGAGGGTGAGAGGATTCACCAGAGACAGAGCGGGGAACAGAACAGGCAGACTGACGAAATATACACTGCTGAAGGGAGCAGCAGGCAAGACAGGAGAGGTCTGTTGCGCCATGTGGGAGTCTCGTCAGCCGACCAGGATTGAACCGGCACTGCAGAGGCTGCGGACAGCCTCACAGTGCGGCGCTCAACCACCTGTGCCACCAGGAAGGCCAATTTTTACTTATTTTTTTAAACAGATTTCTTTACTTATGAACATAAGAGCTGGGGTGCAGCCAGAGGTGCGGGGGTGGGGGTAAGGGGATTCACCAGAGACAGAGTGGGGAACAGAACAGGTGGACTGTCTGCAATCCACTGCTGAGGGGAGCAGCGGGGAGACAGGAGAGGTCTGCGGCACCGTGCGGGTCACCTACCCGGCTGGGGATGTGATGTTGGCACCAGATGACGTGACGAGTCCCTTCATGGTCGCCAAAATGTTGTAGGTTGTAGAGTGTGTGCGGGTCCCGGGGGTCACTCTGGGAAAGGTGCCCCCAGAGCTCCCATTACAGCAGGACACAGCGAGTTCCCCAGCCACGTTTCTCCACGAGACAGAGACACTAGTTACATTAAAGGGCAGATTTAGGGCCTCCCCTGCTGGCACAGCGGTTGAGCGCTGGGCTGAGGGGCTGCCCAAAGCCTCTGCAGCGCCTGTTCGTTCCCTGGCCGCTGGCGAGGGTCCCACAAAAAAGCAAAACAAAAAACAGGGCAGGTTTATGAGGGAAAGGGAAAGGGACAGGTTTCACTGAAAGAGGCCTGCATGGTTGCAGGCGGGCGGCCTTGACAGGTCACGGCAGGCAGGAGGCTGCTGCCCTGCGGAGGGAGAGAGTTGGTGAGAAGAGGCACCTGCATAGTCACGGGTGGGCAGATGGACGGCTGCCCCGAGCCCGTGCAGAGACTGCCCTGATACAGCCCTTTTCTCTTTGGGAGGGTCACTCCTCCGTGGAGTGGCTGCTTGTTGCTGATGTCGGTAACAGGCAACACTAGAAAGGGACCAGAGATTCCAGGGTGGGCCCAATCTCCATATCCTTCCCCTCAGGCCTGTGCGCCACTCCCTAGAGCATCTGGGATCCTGCTCGGGTCTCCTGCCTTGTGACAAGGCACTGGCGTCTAAGGGTCCGACCTCCACAGCTGGGTTAATGGTCCTGTTATTCCCCTCGACCCCCACCTCCTTGCGTGAGTCAGGTTTTAGTCACGTGAGGCCTCCCTTTCCAGTCTTTCCATTCTTGCCCTCCATCAGATGGAACTCGTGCAGCAGAGGCTGCAGATGGCTTCGCAGTGCTGTGCTTAATCCCTGCGCCATCAGAGAGGCCCCACGCCTTGCTTTTATGTCAGCTTCAGGTAAGGGGACTTTTAACAACGGTTAAAAAAAATCTTTCCCAGAAATTCAAGCAACCTTGTTTGCTGTTTTAATGACTTTCGGATATTTTAGGGTCTGGCTGCGGCAGACACTGTCGGTGAAAGGCTGGAAGTCCTGGAGCTTGCAACAGACCTGCCTGTGCCTTCTGCCCCAGCCCACTGTGACCTGCTCATTAGCTGGAGTTATGTTGGGACAAGGCCTGGGGGTGGACTAAAAGTTTCAGGGAGTGACTGGCCAGGAGCCTGACTTGTGCCCCCCAGATGACCAGGTGAGCTCTTAGAAGTCTCCTGCTTCTCTACTCCCTGCTTGCTTCAAGTTGCAAATGTGCCCCTGCTGGGGCCATGGGTACTCTGTCGCCCAATGGCTCAGGGCTCAGACTTTGGAAAAAGATCACCTCTGGGCCTGCGGGATAAATAAAGATGAAATTTTTCCATAACCTCTCACAATCTAAAAATCAAAAGGTAGAAGGTCCTAACTCTAAATGCAAATAAAGCGAGATGTGTTAAGAATTGTATATAAAACAGGGCCTCCCCTGGTGGTGTAGGCGGTTGAGCACAGCGCTGTGAAGCTGTCTACAGCCTCTGCAGCACCAGTTCGATCCCGGCTGGCCAGAGAAGGTTCCACATATGGCAAAGCAGACCTCTCGTGTCATGCCCGCTGCTCCCCTCAGAGTGCATTTCAGTCAGTCAGTCTGCCTGTTCTGTTCCCCACTCTGTCTCTGATGAATCCTCTCACCCCCCACAACTCTGGCCTGTACCCCAGTTCTTGTGTGCATAAATAAGTAAATCTTAAAAGATTATTTATGCACTCAAGAACTGGGTTGTAAGCCAGACATGGGCGTTGTGTTAGAGAGGTTTCACCAGAGACAGAGTTGGGGGCAGAACAGACAAACTGACTGAAACACACTGCTGAGGGGCGCAGCCGGGAGACACGAGGGGTCTGCACGTCATGTGGGCTGCTCCAAGGCCGGCGGGATTGACCTGGCGCTGCGGAGGCTGCGGACAGCTCCACAGGCTGCGCCCAACCCACTGCGCCACTGGGGAGGCCCTAAAATACATTTTCAATGGAAATAGTAATTTTAATTTTGGAAATGACCTAAGGAAATGCTTTCAAATTCCGATAAATCTGTATGTGTAACAATGTTCAATAACACTTTATTTACAGTAAAATGATTCAAAACTATCCAAATAAAAACCCCCAATATACACAAAATTAAATGTAAAAGCTAGATACAGTAACACTGAACAGTCTTTAATGGCGTGGAAAGTCCTTATGTTAGTGTTAAATGTTGAAAGTGGAGAATCCTGGCAGTGCTGTGATCCCACCACGGAAGAAACATATTAATGACATGCCCTCTCCTTACCCCTCACCCGTGAGGAGAACACAAGGTGAACACCTGCAGGGAGCGCACTGTGACACCACAGGGAGAGTCAACAGTCCAGCACGCTCAGGGATGGGCCCGCCCCTGCGCTCCTCCCGGCCCAACAAGCCCCGGAGCCCCCGCGTCCAGCCCTTCCCCGCCGGCCCGAGTTCCCTGCGCGTGGCCCCGTCCCCGCCTCGCCAGCCCCACCGCGGCCCGGCCAGAGAGTCCACGGCCCCGAGAAGGACGCAGCATCCCCGCCCGCTCCGCTCTCCTTGCCGGACTCGGTGAGCGCGGCCAGGAAGCGCCTCTGCTCCCGCCGCGGGCCCCCGCCGCCTCCTGAGTCTCCAGGTGCGGGACCCGGCGCGCTGCCCGAGAGGGGCGCGCTGGGGGCCCTGTCGGCCTTGGGGAGCCACTGGTGAGCGGAGAGGATGGGGAGAAGGGGGACGCGGAGGGCGGTTGGGGAGGCCCCTCCACGCAGCCTCTCTCGCGTCTCCTGCTCCAGCCGCACATCTGGCGCCGGTTCCTTCCGTGTGGGGGCCCACAGAGGCGGGGTTCAGGCTCCCCCCCAGGGCAGGAAGTGAGTCCAAGGGGTCACCTGCACCTGTGGCCCCGGTCTCGGGGGGGGGGGTCGCGGCCCTTTCGCGCCCACGGAGCCGCGTCCGGGAAGAGCGTCCTGCCCAGCGCGGCCCTCGGCGTCCAGGACCCCGCTCCAGGGCGGGGCTCCGGGGAGGGGCTCCCCTGCTTTCCGGGCTCGGGGGCCTCGAGCCTCCCAGCCCCAACTATTGGCCCCGGAAAACTGAGCTGAGGGCACGGCTGCACTTTCGTCCCCGACGCAGCGCCCGCCCGGCCGAGGAGCCTGACCCGCCCGCCTCTGGTGCCTCCGCGCCCCAACATGACCTGGTGACTGTGCCGAGAGCCCGCGCGCGCCCGCGGACCTTCCCTGCACCCCTCGCCCCTCCTGCCCGGCCTCCTGAGCCTGGGGGGTCCCGCGCACTTGCTCAGGCTCCGGTCCCACTAGTGGACTCGGTCTGGGCGGCGGCGGCGGCTGCGCTCGTGTCCGTCAGTCCGTCTCGAGGGCGACCCCGGCCCGCCGGTGGCCTCGTCCCGTCAGTGGAGGCCCGCGGGGACCCTGGGGCTCGCCGGGGAAGAAGCTTCTCGGCACAGACGCCGCGCTCCCCGCGTGGGCCAGTCCCTGATGGCGCCGCCCCGTCCCCAGGACAGACCCCGCGGCGGGCGCGGGAAGGAGGGGGCGGCGGGGCGAGAGCTCGCTGCGCATCGAGACGGTTCCCGGGCACCCCTGGGCGCTTCTTCCCCGGAGACCCCCGGCGCCCCCCTATTCTGCCCCCTCGGGGTCCCGCTGGCGGCGAGCCAAGCGTGCGGGGCTGCAGGCGTCGGAGCGCGGGCGGGTCTGTCATCGTCACCCGTGCTCGAACTGGGGAGCCCCCGACGTTTGCGGGGAAATCGCTCGTCCCAGCGGTGGGGAATCGGCCAAGCCCGCGAGGTGACCGGCGAGGGCTGGACGCGCAGCTGGGGCGCGCGAGGGCCGCGTCTGTCGGGCGGAGGGCGCCGAGGGCCGCTGTGTGACTCGGGGTCGGCGCCTCCGCCTCTCTGGTCCTCGCGCGGGCCCCGCCCCAGGCCCCGCCCCCGCGGACACGCCCCGCTCCCGGCCCGCCTCGGGCTTCTGGGAGTGGTAGTCTCGGCGGGCGCGGCGCCTTCTTGGATGTTGTAGTTCCCGGGCAAGGGCGCCTCCTGGATGCCTCGCCCCCCACCCCCCGGCCACGCGCCGGGACTGGGGTCTCCGGGCCGAGGAGAAGCGGCCCGAACTCGCCGCGCCACGCGGAGGCCGTCCCTATCCCGCGGCGCGGGACCCGGACGGGGAGGGCGCGGCTGCGCGAGTGCGCGTCTGTTCCCTCGGGGTGCAGAGGCGGGGCGACCCCCAAGCCAGCCCCTTCCTCCCCTCCCCCGCCCGCCCGCCCGTCCGTCAGTCCTCTCCCCGATGCCCGCTGCTTCCCCCGGGAGGAGAGGGGTGCAGCAGGAGGGCGCGGGGACCCCAGTACGGGGGGGGCCCACACCGGCCCGCGCCCGCAGCGCCCGGGGCCCTGCGCGATCTGACCCTGGCCCGCGTGGCCGCCGCTACCCGGCGCCACCCTGCCCGGGCCTGGGCCCCGCTCCCCGCTCCCCTCGCCGCCCCGCCCCGCCCCGCCCCGCCCCGCCCCGCCCCGGCCAGGGCCCCGCCTCCCTGCGCGCGCCCCCGCTCCGCCAGCTCCCCACGAAGCTGCTGCTCCCGGCACGAAGGGCACCGGCTCGGGTTTCCCTTTTCTGCCCTGCAGGTCCGGAACCGAGACTGCGGCGGAGCCGCCGGGAGCGGGACGGGACGCACGGGCTGCGGCCCCGAGGCGGAGCGACTGGCCGCGCCGGCACTTCCCGCGGGCTGGAGGGTGAAGACAGCATGGCGGCGGAGTCGGGAAGCCCTGGGGGCGCGGGGGGCGGGGTTCGGCCCTCCAGGCTCAGCGGCACCACACACCGAAGGACCCCACCCCTTCCAGAAGCCGCCGCCTTCGGGGCGCCCCGCTGCCGCAGCACCGGTGGCCCACTGGGCGCAGGTCCGCCGCGGCCTCCCTCGGAGCCATAATCACAGCAGGACCCCAACATCATCTCACCGGTCACAGCCCCGTGCTGCGCAACTTGTGCAGTCTAAAAATAACCAGCCACCCCTCCCCGGGCACTGAGCTCCCACCAGGTGCTAAGTCCCCCTCAGAGGCACCGAGTCCCCCCAGAGTCCTCCCAGGGACCCCCCAGGCACCATGTCTGTGGTCCCCTGGCCGCCTCTGCCCTATTTCCCCTAAGTCCGGGTAAGCGAGGGTTCGTGTGAATATTCGCTCATTTGCCTGAATGTGCCCCCCCCAGGGGCGGCCCCTGGGGATCCCGTTCATTCTCTGACACCCTACACATGGGGCACCCCGAGGTGCCCACAGTCTGGGCACAACGTCAACTGACGAACTGCCCTGTGTCTAGGACAACAGGTCTACACAAAAATCCCACGTTTAAAAAAACGAGATTTTCCAATTATACTGAAAAGTGTAAAGTGTGGTGCATTCCCTAATCCAACATCTTTGAAATTTAAAACATTACCAAGAAAAACAAGAGTTTACTAGGCTTTATAACAGATAAATGATTTTAAAATAGGTCATGGAAATATGTTTCCAAATTTATTTTGAAATAAATTATAAGATCTGACCTCGCTTCGGTGGTAAATACCTTTGCTTGCGTGTCTAACCAAAATCATCTCCTAAACAACCGCAACGTCATCCCAACAGAATGAATCTCTTCTTATCCCTGTACAATCCATATTCAGGTTCCCTTGTTCCACCCCTAAAAGTTTGAAAAACATGATTTATTTGAAAATAAGTTAAGCACCAGGGATCTGCGGGTGTATATCTGGAGGAGGAGAGTCCAGACCGGGGAGGCCACTCAGCTCAGCTCAGCCAAGGAACCAGGGACTGTTGGACTTTTTGCTTCCGTTCTAACATCACCTGCACTGGCCCTGGCACACAGTAGGTCCTCAGAAAACATCAGGGGAAATGAGTAAGTGGGGAAAGCCCTGGCCTGGCCCTGGTGCCCAGGGCCTGAATCTCCCCTGTACTCTGGATGTCACCCGGGCTTCAGCACACAGTGGGCCCTCAGGAAGAATAAGTCCTGGGGTGAAAGGATGCAGGTGAGCATCCACAGCACTAGCCCTGGGGGCCCTCCAAGTCAGAAGGCAAGCGTTGCGGTTCTTTCCTGCGCCCGGCCACTGGCACACAGTAGCCGGCTGGGAGGGCCCCAAGGAGCCGCCCCGCCAGGGAGCCTCCCCAGGACCGTGAGCGCAGCTGCGAGGCTCGGCGTCAGAGGAGGGTCCTGGTACC